TTCTCCAGTGGTCAAGATTCGAACCCAAGTGGCGGTACTCACAGCTGTAAGCCCTTTACCACTAGAGGTAGAAGCCCTGATTATCATGTGACATAAGTTTTTACCTCGTCACTATCATCTGACATAAAAAAACAACTACGTTTTTACCTCTTCTACTTTTCTACATAGTATCTAAGAGCAGCATCAATGCAAGTGTTTAGGAGGGGAGCTTAGCAAGGGGGACCACAAAAAGAAGGAAAGAGAACAAGCATCGCAGCCAAAATAACTTGTATAAGCAGCAGAGCTTGTACTGTTTCGCGGGCCCCATACCACGTGGCGGTCCGCGATTGACGTATTTTTAATTTTTTTTTTTTAAACGAAAAAAAGTAAAAAAAAAAAAAAGCACTCTTGTGCGTTATTCATGCTCTAACCTCTGTTACAAAAAATATCTCTATTTGTTTCTATTCTTTGGAGAGAGAATAAAAATTGCATATGGATTCTCCTCTAGCGATGGCGGGCGAAGTTTAACGGTGATGCTGGTAGATCTGTATTGGAATCAGTTTCTGAAATACCCCTTGATCAGATCGGAAACATAGTTTCAGGTGGGAACTGAATCGCTGGAAAATAGCCTATATATGATTTTCAAGCCTGTTACTAAAGTGCGTGAAAGCCTAGCAGTTTTCATAATCTTCAGTCGCAAACAATTGGAAAAGATAGGTACCAAGAGAAATTGATGAACTTTACAGGATCAAACTCGCTTATTTATAGGTGAAACTCCGCAACCATTGAGATAGGAAGATGTGTATTGAATGAGACCTTGAGATGAATGGGTCGGTGATGTTAATGACAACATTAAATGTGTTAAGTGAATCTAATCGACAACGATAACCGTTAGCCGCAGTGTGTCTTCATAGTTTTTGGAGAACGTAGGCAGCTAGGTAATCTAACGGGGAAGAAGAAGAAGCGTGTGAATAACCTAACTCAATTTAACCAGATCCACTTATAAAAATAAAGCTCTGGATTTTTTAACTCAAAAAACCCAAACATAAAACTCTTATTGTTCTATGTGAGCCCAAACTACTAAGAGCATCTTCATCCCTGTTGCTTAAGGGGAAGTGTTTGTCAAAAAAATATTAAAATAGTGAGATGGGTTCCACTAAAACCTAAGCCCTAGTGCTTCTGAGTCTTGTATAAGCGTCGATTTTGGGGAGTGCTTGAACTTTTCGCGGGCCCCACTGACACGTGGCGGCCCGCGATTAGTTGCTTTTTAATTTTTTTTTTTAAATTAAATCAGAAAAACCAAAAAAAAAAAAAAAAAAATTTAAGCGTCCCCTTTTTTTGGTTTCGTGATGATCATGCTCTAACAGTGAAAAACAAACAAAAAAAACACACGTCTAAAGAATCCGACGTGTCAAGCTGTTATTCTGTTAATTAGTGACGTCGCTTCTCCTAGAAAGAGAGAAGTCTAATTTATATAGATAGAAAGACTATGAACATTTTTTTAAAATTTAAATTATATTTAATAATAAATTTTATTATTATTATAGATTCTATTATTTTCTTACCAATATTTAAATATAAATTGATTTAGTTCAACTTTAAATTAAAATAAAATAATTTTGTTTATTTAAAATTATATTTATGCATATATTTAAAATTATAATCTTAGATAGATTTTTTATCCATTTATATTGCTTAAATATATTGAGTTAATGTGTATAAATTTAATAAAAGTGATATGAAACTCTATAATTATCAAAAATTTAAACTAAACAGTATTTACAAAAATTTTAGATAAATAAGAAACTATTGATTCTACGATTAGCAATTTATATTTTAATTTTTTTTAGAAATTTTTGCAAAATTTAGTAATACAAATTGTATAATATATAAAATAAAATAGAATAATATTTTGAAATTTGTAATGTTAAATTTGAATATATTTATTTTAAAGATGATGTACGAGTTTTTACCATATTTTAATTTTTTACCATGAATAAATACACCATTAAATGTAAAGTATGCGTTATTACCATATTTAAAAAGTTTATCAAAAATATAAATTAATATTAGATGTAAGTATCAATGTCATATTTTGTCATAAGCCATCAGTTTTAGTAGCCATGTCATAATTGTTTTTGTGAAACTGGTTGTACTAAGATGACATGTGGATATACAAGAAACTAATGATTTAAACTAAACAATATTTACAAAATTTGTAGATATATAAGAAACTAATGACTCTACGATGAGGAATTTATATTTTTCTAAAATTGTAGCAATTGTTCGAAAACTTTAGTAATACGAATTGTATAATATAAAAAATAAAATAGAATAATATTTTGAAATTTGTAATGTTATATTTGAATATATTTTTATAAAGATGATGTATGAGTTATTACCATATTTTAAATTTTTTACCATAAATAAATATCAACATTAATTGTAAAATATGTGTTATAACAATATTTAAAAACTTTACAAAAATATAAATCATTATTAGATATAATTATCTATGTCATATTTAACCATAAGTCAGGTCATCAATTTTAGTAGTCATGTCACATTTTTTGTTAAACTGTTTGTAGAGATGACATGTGACAAATCACTACACAAATAATATTTAGGTGATTATAAACATATGCACAACTATTAAAAACATTATCTTTTATCTAAAATCATTATTAAAATATAAATTAAAATCTTATTAGCTAATTAAAAAGAATAGAAAATAAAATACTATTGGCTAGATAGTTTTTAATAAAACTAAAAGTTACATAGAAAAAATGAAAACATCTTACAATTGAACTAACAAAAAATTCTTAAAACATCACGCAAAAAGAAATGAAGAGAGTAGTAGATAGATCATCTCTATTATATATCTGCGAATGATCAGAGCTACATTGTTAAAGCGTAACAGGAACAGTATCAAGAACCATAAATACTACTCCAATCTTTCAATTTTTTTTTTTCATTTTAAGCTTATTAAAAGGGTAGGTAGTTGATTTAGAAATTGCTTTTGTTTTTGATTTGGACTTTTTTTCTTTGCTGTATTTGATTTGGACCTGGTTTTCTTTGTGATTCAAAGCATCTAAGTTTTGTTTTTTTTTCTTTGTCAGCTTCTTAAGCATCTAAAAGTATATCCTCAAAAACTGGAAAAATACCAATTTCAATCCCAACTATTTCAGTCGTGCCAAATACGACCCAAACAAATGGTCAGTATCAAATACGACCTCAACTCAATATTAAATAAAAAACAAGTTAGTGTATTTATATAAATCATAAATACTAAATAGTAATACTAAAGTTTTAAATTGGATAAGATAAAGAAGAATAGTAATTTATATAATTTCAAATTTGCAACAACATTTCAAAAAGTCATTTTAGTCTAGTTGTCAGTGAGCCCCTTTAAAAAGATATCACGATGCGGGACTCAAACCCCCGAAAAAACATATTTTTAAAAACATATATATATATATCAAAACGACGTCGTTTTATCTTGTTAACGATTGATTAACTTCTGGTAAAATCAATATCGATTTATGCACGTTTTAAAAGGTTTAGGTAGTTTTTTATAATTATAATTAAACTGAAGTCATATTTGATATTGGCTATTTGTTGGGGTCGTATTTGGCACAACTGAAATTGTTAGGGGTGAAATTTGCACTTTTCCTCGTATATCAAAACGTCGTTTTATTTTGTTAATGGCTGACTAACTTCTGTTAGAATCAAAGTAGATTTAAACACGATTTATGAAGTTTTGGTAGTCCTTTTTAATTGTAAATGAGTTAAGGTCGTATTTGATACTGATCATTTGTTCGGATCCTATTTGGCACGATTAAAATAATTGGAATCAAAATTGGTGGTGGGCTAGTGGTCTTGAGACAGTTTCAACGCCAATAAGGACCCGGGTTCGAATATCCCCTGTGACCACGGAATACCTTACGCCCTCCCGAAGTTGAGTTAAGCGTCGCGTTGATGCCATCGCATTCCTTGGGTAATGGGTAATAGTGTCGGCTGGTTCCGGACCAGGGAGATTAGTTGGTTGAGTTAAGCGAGGCGTTGATGCCACCGCGTCCGCCTTCCATTCTCTTGTTAAAAAAAAAAAGATTGGTACTTTTTCCTCAAAAACTATAAACTAATTAAATTGTTTTTACGAAAAAAGAATAAGAAAAACGGTGGAAACCAATCATTCGCTAGAGACAGTATCGGTTAAAAAGTAAACACTGGGGAAAGGACAAGAGAAATAGTTACGGAAATGTGTAGCTGCCACATGTATATTACCGGAAAAAGAAAAACAAAAAACTAAACCATATACAGATTTAGAGATCTGGAAAGAAGGAAAGACAAGGAAAAAGGAAGCTGCATCTCTCCTTAACTCCTTTTGTTTTTTTTCTTTTCTTTTCTTTTTTATAAATCCATAGTATATAAAGGCTTTCTTGCTTTTCCTTGAGATTCATTAAAGGAGGAGTATCTATTATCAACCGGCGGCAACTTTCTTTCAGCCTCGACTCTCTCCTCGTGAGTTCTTTCCTTTTAAGTTTTTTGTCCGTGTTATTAGGATTCTCTGAACTCATTTTCTTCATGCCGCCACGTTGTTGTTTGTTGTTTTTTTTGGTTTCTTCACAGTAATCATATGGGGATGCTGCCATTTAAATTTATCATCCTTTATTATTATTATTGTTTTGTGATCGAACTTGAAGAATCAGTCTTCGGCCGATGCATCTCTGTAGACTGTAGCTGTATACTCTTCTTATCTGTTATAGGGGCCTCTCAGGCTTTTAATTATTCTTTCGTATAGAAGAACCTCCTCCTGTACAAGACTAGACTAGTACTGCGATCCATGTCTTCGTTTGTCTCATTTGTTCCTTCTAGATATATAATAATACTAATAAAGTTGCTTTTCGTTTTTTTTTAACAGGTTTACCCAATTTCGGACAACTATAAAGCTCTTTTCTTGTGCTTTGTCTCATCATCATTCTTGCTTATCCACTCTTTTTTTTTATCATCTTCTTTTGAGTATGGCGTCTTCAAGCACCCAACATACCCACATCATTGAGGTTAATGCAGGCAAATCCGTTGAAGAAAGCTCAACAAGTGGCGCAAGTAAATCCTGTGGAGAAGCACCTTGTGGCTTCTCAGATCTCAACAATGCTTCCGGTGATGCCCAAGAACGCAACGCTTCCATGAGGAAGCTCTGTATCGCCGTGGTGCTATGTCTTTTGTTCATGACCGTTGAAGTCTTTGGTGGCATCAAAGCTAATAGCTTGTCTATTCTAACCGATGCAGCACATCTTCTCTCTGATGTAGCTGCCTTTGCCATCTCCTTGTTCTCCTTGTGGGCTGCTGGCTGGGAAGCTACTCCTAGGCAGACTTATGGGTTTTTCAGGATTGAGATTCTTGGAGCCCTTGTCTCTATCCAGCTCATTTGGCTTCTCACTGGTATTCTTGTCTATGAAGCCATCATCAGACTTCTTAGCGAGACCAGTGAGGTTAATGGGTTCCTTATGTTCCTTGTTGCTGCGTTTGGGTTACTTGTGAATATCATAATGGCTGTTCTGTTAGGGCATGATCATGGTCATAGTCACGGTCATGGCCATGGTCATGACCATCACAGCCATGGGGTGACTGTTACCACCCACCACCATCATGATCATGGAGAGGACACGCATCATCACGCTCATGGGGATGTTACTGAGAAATTATTGGACAAATCAAAGCCGGATAAAGAGAAGAGAAAGAGGAACATCAACGTCCAAGGAGCTTATCTTCATGTCCTTGGTGACTCTATCCAGAGCGTTGGTGTTATGATTGGTGGTGCTGTCATTTGGTACAACCCGGAATGGAAGATTGTTGATCTGATCTGCACTCTTGTCTTTTCGGTTATTGTCTTGGGAACAACCATCAACATGATTCGAAGCATTCTTGAGGTGTTGATGGAGAGCACACCTAGAGAGATTGACGCTACAAAGCTTGAAAAGGGTTTGCTGGAAATGGAAGAAGTGGTGGCTGTTCATGAGCTTCACATTTGGGCTATCACTGTGGGGAAAGTGTTGCTTGCTTGCCATGTCAATATCACACCAAAGGCAGATGCAGATATGGTGCTCAATAAGGTCATTGATTACATCCGCAGGGAGTATAATATCAGTCATGTCACTATACAAATTGAGCGCTAAAAACATGTGAAGAGTATTTTGTATAAGCATTCTCATTGACATGATGATAAAATCAATAATGTTTCTTATCTTTTTGTCCACTTTCTCTTGTTCCTCTGCTTTAGGTATATTGGTGTAGTGATATGTCATCTTCTATTCCTCTTCGAGGAAGGACCTTTTTGTCCTTCTTTCATAAGTGTTGTAAGGACACAGCTTGCTTAGAACAGATGCGTCATCTCAACTTTTATGAGATTAGGTGTGTCTTCAGTCATCACAGGGCTTGGTGTTTGAGTTAGTAGCACAATCTGATTGATTCTAAAAAAGAGTTTTTAATGATATGTCACAAGTGGGCCATGTTTGTCCAGAAAATTGGTACCAAGGGATTGTAAGTTACATCAGCAGGTACACACAAAGATGATATTTCCATAAGGCTTGCATAGCAACGAACTATGTAAAGATTGGATGTTGTTAAGTTGATAAGGCTGTTCTGGATTTATCACAGTAGTATGAATATGAATGAAGAAAATTAGAAGGGAACACTGGTTAGTATCCTTGAAGCCAAGACATCGACACTTGTATGCTTAACATGTAAGAAACCAGAAATCACGCGTTAATGAATTGAGAGGGGATGAACGTATAAACTTTTCCTTGGATTTTTTTAAAGGTTCAAGGTTCTTCTTTCTTCTTCTTCATCATCTTCTATGTATCCCCACAACTGACTCTCTTTGCTTTCAGACAAAACTTGCCACATCCAATAATGTTTCTTTGAGGGACCTTTCTTCTGTGAGAGAAACTGTCTCTCTCTCTCTCATGTTCTTTGCTCTGCTCAGCCTTACCAACTTATCTTCGGTCCCTAAAACAAACATCTGTTGTCATCTCTTTTATCTTTTATTTTTTCACCTCTTTGTTTCCTTCCCTTTCTTCTCTCATATCTCACTTTCAGTTTTCTCATTTTCTCTTCAACATCTTCTTCCCAATTTAAGACTAGTGTTCTATATAAAGCTAACGGCTTTTAGCTGCAGAAACTGAGCACATGAGTATCTTGTTTTTCCTTCATTAAAAACCCTCGCTATTATTTCTAGAGAGATATAAACAAACAAGAGAGAAAGAGTAATAAAGAGAGAGATCTCAGCTTTAAATGGAGAGGATTCAAGGTCAAAAAAAGCTCTGTGTAATGTATTTTATCTCAGTGTGGAACGTTATTTTTTCTTTTCCACTCTTTGAGTCTGTAATCAAAGATGTGGACATGCATTTACTCCTTCCCTAATGAGTTGCATTCAGTGCTTTGAAACATTCCGTTTTTCATTCTAGTTTTTGTTTCTCTACACTGACCCACTCACCAAAACCTCATTACAGTAGATGAATACCCAATTTCTCTTTTGAAAATTCGCTTCTTTCTTTATTTTCTCTCTCTCACTTGGTAGGTAGTACCTCCTTCCTTTGTTTTCTGTTTTGATGCAGTTGTTGGATCAAAAAGTGAATCTTTCTAAATTGAATTAGAAGGCATAGAGAGCACGTAGAATTGTATTATTTAATTAATAGAAACTTAAGGTTACATCTTTTTAAATGTTTCTCAATTAATATATCGGGGATTTACACATTTACAAATATAAATTATACTTCCACTCTTTTGTTATATAAGATTATTTTTTAATTTTTATTTTCATACAAAATAATTAGTTTATTAAATGATTCATAACAAATAGAAGTTATATAACTTAAAACAAAAATTAAACATCATTTTCCCGCTCGTTTACGCGTGAGGTGATTTCCTAGTTAGTACAATGTCGTATTAGGTGGAAGCACAATTCTCTTTTTTGTTTTTTGTTTTTTTCAAAATATATACTAATAAAAAAAACTATCTAAAGTTCCATGGAGCGTCTACATCAACAAAAAAAATCTCCAGAGAGAAACCACATGACATAATTACATTATAATAAAAGTAAAAAACATTTATATTATCATTCGATATAAAAGCAAAATAAATTAGATTAAATAAATATACAATATAAAAAGATAAATAATAATTAAATATACAATATAAAAAATGGAAATCTTAAATAATAAAATAGAGTTTTCTTTTTTCTCTCCATAGGGGCAAAATGACACTTGTCATCTTTTCATTTGTTAAATATTTTTTAGGCTAAATTATAAGATTTATTTTAATTTGGATTTTTGTTGGCTTTTAAAAATGATATGGACTTTAATAAATATTATTAGTCCAATAAAATTAAATAACAAGTAACTTTCTCACCTTCAACATTTTCTTCACGATAGATGAAAGCTTTGATATCTAAGGTTCATCTTCATCGTCTTCTTCGATCTATAACCGTCTTTTCTTATTTCTCTTCTTCACTTAATCAGTTAACACTCGATTCGTCGCCGTACGTTCATCTTTTACTGATTTTATCTTCGACGCAATCAACAATGGAAGTCTCGGCTCTAGATATGTTATCAAAACGGTGGTCTCGGTTGAAGATAAAGGAGAAACATGTGCACATACTTCTGGGTTCGTGGTACTTGGTAAAGTGTTTTTAGTTTGGTTTATGGTCTCATTTCCACCGTAACTGTGTATCCATCTGTTGAAAGTGAACTTCTTCTTAAGATCATTTCCCTTGAATCGTCGGTTGTTTTTTTCTTTATAATAAATAAATTACATATTTTTATTAAATAATAAAATTAATTATTTATTAAATGACAAAATTAACAAATCAGTTTGTGTTAGAAAAATCAGTTTTGTTATTTAATTTTTTATTAAATACAAAATTAATCTTTATTAAATAAAAATAACAAATCAGTTTGTGTTCAAAAAAATTTAATTAAATTATTTATATTTTTAATATTTTAAAATTATGGAATATAGATAAACTCAGTAATAAGTATCATATCATCTTCATATATATCACCTCATTTAAAATCTAATTTTTATAATTAAATATGTAATTTTTTTATTTAAAACAAAATTTATTAATAATCTTTTCAAATTTACATGTGTTGAGAAATTGAAAAGTACACAAAGTTACATCATAAATTAGAAAATACATCATATTTGTAAAAATAAAACATATTTTGATTATGTTAATATTTTTTATAATATATTGATATATTTATAATATATATAAATTAAAAACCAATCATATAAATCACAGATCCACGACAATAGTCTATCTGACTTTCTCCAAGTTAAATCATCACAGTAATATAAAATCAAAAATAAACACGAACAACAGTATGGTCAAGTTTTAAATTTAACAATAGTTTGCTCACCTTTTGTAGTAAATGTTTGATTCATTAACTAAAATCCACTTACGCTGGCATTCAATGTTACCACTAAATTACAATTCTCAATAAATCTTTTTTATTAACTCACACATATCAACATAAACATTTTGTGCCATTTACACAGATATAAAAGATTAGCGACCTCCATTACAACCCAAAAATCTCTTCCAAAATCTATCTTTCAAAGTAAATGTACATCAGCCATTCTCTAACATCGAAGACCTCTTTAACAAAATCCCAGGAGATATTATCCCCTGGATTAACCAATCGGTAACTTCTTGCGATTATCACAATCTTTGACAATGCGGCTCAGACATCAAAACAAAAATTAGATGTTGACGCGCACGTCCGTGTGGATATTTATTTTCACTTTTATGTATAAAAATATTATTTAATTATTTATTACTTAATATTTTAAATATTTTTCATATTTTAAAGTTTCTTAAAACATCATAGTGAATTAGTTTACATGTTAAAAACAAATATTGACCCGTGCGCTATATTAAATTTTCGACAAACATTAAACCCTTGAGATTTTTTAGTAATGTCTTTTTAACATGAAATTGTTTCCAACAATTTCCAACAGTAAAATATTCTAAATATTTTGATTATATATGGTCATATGTCAAGATTTAGATACATCATATAAAAAATATTCCATTATAGACATTAAATATTATTCTACAAGTAATTTTATGTTATTTAAAACTTTATGTAGATAAATTTATTGTTGAAAAATAATTAAATAGTAACTGAATGAAGAAAAATATATTTTATAAATATTTGAAATATATATATTTTAGGCAACATTTAGATATATTAAATGAATAATCGATTATGAAAAATCCATATTATTCTGCAAGTATTTCAAAAATAGTTAAAATCTTAGCATAAATAGATATTATTGTTTAATATAATTAATGGTAATGGTTAAATATATATTTTAGACCTTATAAGTTAAATGTGTAAAATTTATATTATACTTGAGAAATATTATATTATATAATTAAAAAAGTTTTTAAATTTGAATTTTACTAAAATTTAGCTAAGTCAATTTAGGAAATATATTGATCAGAAAATTTTAATAAAATAGGAAAAGACAATGATTACTTAAATGTAGGTTTATTTAATTCTCAATGGCATTGGATTGTAAATATTGTGCAAGTTTAAGGGTTAATTTAATTGTGTACTTAAATTTAATAGATTAGATGCCTATAAGACTATGACCTTTTAAGCCACACCGTTTAAATTCTTTGCTACAAAAGATCAAATACAATTCAAAAAGATGATTTTAATTCTTAACAGATTTATCAAGTGACTTATGCTTGGCACAAGTAAATAACTACAATGTTAATTAGATTAGCATTTTAACGATTACATTTGATAAAATGGATTCTTATAAAACCTAAAAGAATACATTCCATGTGTAACGCGGATCGACTACTAGTAATACATTAAACATAACATTTATTTGAAAAAAGATATATAGATTTACCTTGTTAAGTAATCTGACAATATTAAAAATTGGATATCCTCAACTTTCAAGCTACTAAATATTTTTTCTTATCATTTTCTTTCCACACGATCTCTATTACCCTAGACGGCAGCTATCCATCTTCCTTAAACTATCGATCACTTTAGTTTTCTCTACACACAATTTCCTTTCAGCCATATTCATCATCCTTGCTAAATATATGTCAATTAAACATGCCTGCATAAAAAAAAATAATCTTTTTTCC